GGAGAAGATCCCAGGAGCCATTCAGAACTGAAACCCTACTGTGGCAGTTTCCTTCCAACTCCTTTTGGAAATACTTGCTGTCTTACAACTCACATCTGTAATGAGAATCAGAAAATAGCACACTTCGCGGGACCCAACAACATCTGCTCTGTGAGAGCCCATTAAAAATCATGGCCAACATAACCAGCTATTGCCCTGTCATCCTTTATTGATAGTGAATGGAAAGTGTCATAAGAAATATTGAGGATGCAGAATATTTTTTTTCTAGTTATTATCTACCATTATCAAGCTGATTTTGTTAAGCAGATTTGGCACTAACAACCAGCAATAGCTAATAAATTCAATCTCAGGCTTGCAAGGTTCTGACAGATAGTTGGCAGCTGCCTTAAATGCAGGGAAGAGCTCTCCTAGTGTGGGTTGGAAATGCTTATTTATACCATACTGTGGGTCTGTTTGCCCCAAATTTTGCTGCCTCATTTTAGTAGATGTCATTGGTGTGATAGATGCAAAGGGTATAATAACTGATATAGTATCCAGCTACACTGGAGATCAGTACAAATGGATTAAAGGTAGGAAACTCAAGCCACAGCTGTTACATTTTTACAGTAAGAATGAGAATCTCCATTTATAAATGCAAGATTTGTGGGAAGGAGGTAGCTAGGCCTCACCATAGAATTCATTTAGCTGTGAATGTCTCGGTGATTAGCTTTTCTGTGCTAAGAAGGATATTATGCAGAGGTTTTAGACTGACTTGCTGTTAACTGGTGAGAGACTCTAGGAGAGACCGGCTACACAACTAGCCTCGGTTTGTTCTTAGGCCTCCTTTCAGTATGCCTTAAGTGTGGAAGACGACGTGCTCAGAACTAGGCACAGGCTTCAATAGCCTGTATTTAGCTGAGATGCTGGTTAGATAGGGGTTGTATGTGAAAGGGAAAACCAGTTGGAAAGAAAGCTACAGAGAGCCTGAGCTCTCTGTTGCAGTAACAGACCATGTACACGTGGAGAAGTTTTAGATAACTGAAACCTTCACCAACCACGTTTTAGTGGTAAGTGATGCTAAGAATGTGTACAGAAACTGAATAAGCGGAAGTCTCATGAGACAGGTAAGTTTAGTCCAAAAATTCCAAGTTACACAATGGACTGTGAAAACCACAATATACTTGTGTAACTGAGCTCCACGTTTTATATTCAATGCATTTTATCATATCTCATTTACTTGGAAGAAGAATCAAGAATCTGTCCCAGCACTGGGTGTAACTGAGTAGTTGACAAGCCTATGACCATTAAAGTTAATGCTGAGTGAGGGGATGAAGAAATTAAAGGACTAGGAAGCTCTTTCTAACTGGAAAAGAGAAGAAAAGAAGTCAGGAAGTTAAATTCTGCAGTGCAACTAAGTTGGGCATTGCTGACATAATTTTTTTTCTTCCTATGTGATGAAAGTTTCTCTGGACAGTACAAGACTGGTGGTGAAAAATTCAGATTAACTACGTTGCACTGTACATCTGGATCTACAGTTGTATATGAGTGAGACGATCAGCATTTCCCATCTCTGGCTGAGCATTCCCCCTCTCTCTCTGTTAACAGGCCTTACAATTCCATGGCAAGACTTCAGAAATAGTTATAAGTTTCTTTATACCACTACACCTTCCTTCCTCAAAAAGGAAAAATAGAGTAGTCAAGAAATATACACTGACATCGTGCAGCAACTCTAAAATTCAATTAAAAAAAATGCTGACAGCATTTCACACAACTAAAAAAATACTTAAAATAAAGCACTAAATGCTGTTTTGGAAAGTGTGTGGGTGATGCCACCAAGCATTATGCACCATGATGAACTCGCGTAGAAAACGGATAAAGCACAAAAGCATCCCGTTGCCTTTATAACAGACACATCGTGCAGCTTCTGAAGGTGTCATGCAATGCCCACTAGCCCTTCTGCTGGGAAAGGCCGTGAGCTACCATTCCACAGGCTGCCTTTTCAGTTCCTCTTACATCTTCATCAATCTCCACTATATCTCCTCTCATGTCTTTCCTTCAGGCTGAAGAATCTTAATCTCATCCTTGTACAGAACCTTCCAGAACTCTGATTATCCTCGCTGCTGTTCTGCAAGCTGGACTAAAAAGGACAAAATACCACACTATATTTTATATAAAGGTGAAGGTTTTGGAGGTAAACAGTCCTCGTGTGACAGGATCCTCTTTGCTCCATTCCCAAGTCCTTTCCCAATGCTTTCTAACAGGTAGTTTATTTTTTGACCGCTGCTGAGTGTTGAGCGAGTGTTTCATAAGAACGGTTATGCCCCAAGGTCCCATTTGTGTGTGTAAGATTTAACTCAGAGCCCATTAGTGGCAGTAATCCCAGGACTGTTCTTCCCTAATGTGCATAATTTATTTAGGTTTACTTACAATGAACTTCACAGAGATGGTCTCTGTTACTATTTCTCTCACTGAAATACCCCACTGCCTCATTAATGGTAATTGCCCTTCTCTTTCAATTTGTCCAGCTGATCAGCAATTCAGACGGAGAATGATTGTTCCGTACACCACTTACTGCCTCTCTGTCAGACCGTATGAAGGTACCGTATGCCCAAAAGGTTTTGTGATTGATTTAACTAAATATACTGCTTCTTTGTACAAACATGAATTTCCATCATCCAAGGCCACTGTTAGCGTGAAGGACACGGCGATGCTCGTGCAGCGGTGGGCAGAGCGCTCCGTCTTGAGCAGGGCACAGGATGGGCTCAGCTGATCAGTTTGTTAATTGGACTCCACCCATTTTTTTTCCTGATAAATACTATTTTGAAATATGGGTTAAATTGCTACTGAGAATTTACAACTCCAACACCAGGGTAAAGAGCAGTTTTGTAGCCTGCCTCTTCCTGTGCACTTGAATATTGTTTTTTCAGAGGGTAAATCAAACGAACAAGCATCTACATGATTCCTTGGTACTATGACTGCAGTTTTCTGACCATAAATGTCTTCGTGGCCTGAGGAAACTGTGTAGCATGTCCTTCCTCACTAGAGGAAGAAGGGAAATGACATATTATGATATAAATCTATTTTCTTGAGAAACTTTCAGCTGAATGAAGAGAAAATGCATCAGAGAAATGACAGATCTGCATAAACTGAGTAAATAGCTGTCTTAAACCCTTGACATTTGTTCCAGCTGGCTGTAGGTAATCTGGATGACGTGTAGGTCCTTGTGTGCTTGGGTAGTAATGTTTCCCCTGGCACTGAAGTACGACAAGAAACAATACCGATGCAATTTGCAAGATGGGAAGAAACCTTGACTGTATTTATTGTCTTACCTTTTTCAGAAGCCGGGGCAAGGTCAATAAAACTTCGACATTTTTCACCTTTAAAAGAAAAGGATTATTTTATGAGACAGAAGTTAACTGATTTTGCTCTACCTCCTCTTTCTGACTAGTGTTTCTGCCATCGATCCCACCTGGACCTCTACAGGACGACTAACTTGTCTCACACAGCAAGCAGACATCTACCCGTGCCTCCAGCCTGGACCAAAAATGCTATGCTCACGAGGCTGGACTCTCCCTTCGGGTCACAGTCCCTTCATCAGGAGTATGAAATACACCTCGTGAAGAAAAACGTTCTCTCTGACGGTTGGGTCCCTGTTGGGTCAGTGCTGCTCTTTCCCACGGCCAGGAATAGTGTTGCACTCCAGAAGGAATATTTCACCAACACTTTTGCCCTCTTTCTTCTCATTGTCAGGACGAAGCCTGTGCCCCACCAGGGTCTGACCGAACCTCCCGGCGCCAGGAAGCGATGCCGTGGGACAGGTGTCTCGATAGACAGATACAACATGCCACCAGGACAGACAAAACCTGAAGCACAGAGTAAGCTCAGCAATTGCATAGAATCTACAAAAAAATGTTTAAAAAGCAGGCAAATGCCTTGCTGTGACTGTCACAGAGCCCTGTGCCACTCCCTCTGCTTTGTGGCTGCTGCAGCCGTTTCTCAATGTAAATTAAGTTTTCTCTGTTTAGGACTCCAGCCCTGTTGTTACAGGCATTCTGCAGCAGCCTGTTGCTTCCGAGCAGGAAAAGTATCTTAAAAGTAGATATATTGACCTTTCTTTTTACTTCTCCAGGCAATCAAAGATGTCTAAAAGAATTCCTCTGCTCTAGGTGCATCCATAGCCCAGGATGCAGGTATGGAACTTCCAATATGGTATGTTCCAAGGTGACCAAGAACCTGCCTGCCTCAAGGAATCAGAGCCCAGCATGCCTGCCAGAGGTAATGGAGAAGAATCCATTTTGTTCTTTAATACTTTAATTGATGCAAAGGCAGCTTCAGGAGGAGTTTTTTTTCATTTGTTTTGCTCAATTTTAATTGCACAGTGAAAAAACTGATTTAAGAAAGCTGAGCTATTAAAAAAGAATAAACAGTGATGTGCTGTAGTGATGTTGAATTCAGTGTGTAATTTTTTTTTCTGAGTTGTAATTAATTATATGTACAAACCAATACAAAATGTTAATCTTTACGGCATCTTTGTTGGAGGCATTGAGATAAAAGTAACCATTGAAATGATAGCTCTGCTGAAATAACAAACTATTATAATCCTATTATTACCACATTTATTTATTTTTGCAGCTTTAAACCTATGCTAAATATACTAAAAAGTGTTGTTTTCATAGTTCACTGTCTGTTTGCCTCTGTGTGTGTTGGTATAAAAGAAAAGAAAAGGTTCACTTGACACTGAAATGAATGTTTCAATATCTGTGTCCATGGCATAGGGAAGGACTTCTACCCTGTGAATCCAGGAGCTGTCAAGAGGACAGTGAAGAAAAGGAAGGTATCAAGCACCATCTCTATTGGAAAAGAAGTAGGCAGGACAGTCCGTATCTGAGCAGAGGAATGTCAGATGAGTAAGTTATTAAGTTTTGGGGCAGACAGACTGAAGGATATCTGATGGATCACCGAAATCACAGCATCCCAGAAGCGTTGTGTTGATGGGAGCCCGCAAGTCTCTTGTCCAGCCTCCTGCTCAGAGCAGGACTATTGCCAACACCTGATCAGGTCAGCTGTGACCTTGCCCAGCCAGATATTTCGAGGATGATGGTACCCATTCTTTAGTGACTCCAAGGATGGAGTTTCTCCCCTGTGCGGGTCCCAGGGCTGCATCCTCCTTCTGGAGAAGTATTTATTATGCCCAACCTGCTTAGCCATCCTTCCTCTGTAGGGAGATGGACAAGCCCAGCTCCCTCAACTTCTTTTCACACGTGGTGTGCTTTAGGCCCCTGATCAAGAAATACAGAGAAACAGGTGGACTATAAAAGACACTCCGCTGTAAGCAGGAGTCTTTCTCACTCAGAGCCTCTGAGTTTTAGGGCATGAGTTGTGTCAGGAATGCATTGACAAAAAATCAAGGGAATAAAGGGAGAGTGACCTTTAGATTTGGATGTGATATAAGCAGATTAAGCAGCATTTTTCATTGTAGCCATGTGGATCTGTGGTTTGGGTTTGGCTTTGTGGTGGGGTTGTTTTTGTTTGGGTGGGTTGTTTTTTGGTGTGTCCCCCTCAGGTGTAAGCTATTACTTTTATCACTGTTTCATTTTAACCAGACTTCAGCTAACTGGCTAGCACACAGTCACCTCTCACCTGTGGTTGCAGTGAGTCTGAATCCATAATCCTGGAAACCTTTAACAAATACGCGAGTCTCTAACCTGTTATCCCAAGACAGCCAAAGGGGAATGGCACTGGCTACTACAGGAACTGCACAGGCTGTTCTGAGAGCTGGAGATACGCAGTGCCTTGACAATACATGGCAAGGTACGAAGCCTTTTGACACAAGGTGCCTTGTCTGCAGGACAGATGTGGAGAGTGTGCAGGACAGATGTGGAAAGTGTGATTGATCACAGGCTATTTGGAGGAATGGGCATCCTCATCCTCCTTCAAATCAGCTTGCCCAGAACACCCTCTCTCCCAGGAGAGCTGGCTGTAGCTGAGGCCTCCAGTTTAAATTATATGGGCAGAAAATGCTGGAGTGTCCAGGAAAAGTCCCTTAGGAGCCATAGTGCAAAGAATGACTGTAGATTTGAGACAGAGAAAAGCCTGGAAGGAGGTCACTTCACTTTCAACAGCTGGTATCTGGATTGTGCCTGGCTCACTACTCACTGCTCACTCAACCTTTAGGCTGTGGTAGGAACTGTACAAGCACTTCTGATGAAGAACATTTCCCTTCATTGTTCCCGTTGCTGGAGCACTGGAAACCCCTCCTCCATTTACAATGGTAACCACTTCAACATGCAGACATGCATCTCAGTGAAAACTGAAGATATCAGCCGTACTTTCACTGTTCCTCTTAGGATTTATTCTAAGTTATTTTTGGGTATCTTGTATAACTGATCTCTTAAGCCCTCTTAAGTTTAATTTTAGACTTGGCAGAGTTTATCCTGCTGTGCTGCCCTTTTCCAGATGCATCTTCTCCTCATAACCAGGCTCCTGGAGAGTCTTTAGAGAATATAGAAAAGGCTGTTTAGAGATGTAACAAGAAGAGTATCCAGGATTCATCCCCCTGATAGTCCTGCCTTCACCCAGCTGTGGCAGCAATTTGGACAGAGGAGAAAGCCAGGGAGTGAGCTCTGCTGCACATAACTCACATAGAGAGATGTGACATGGCTTTAACGCTCTCCACTTCCAAGCAGGAGCAATGGCCCTGTACACTGCGTGTGACGCTCTCGGAAGCTCAGCAGTGTCAGGGAGCTGCTGGAGGCTGAGGAGGCAGGACTGACTGACCACCTCAACATAAGTAAGAGCGAAGCACTTGGTACCGACTCCCTCTATGGCTTCCCAAGCGTGAGGCAGAAACACCATCTCTGCAAAGCCTCGCAAATCCGTTCCCTCATAACCAGACTGGCTGTGCACGGGCTCAGTTGTGTCTCTGCTGGGCTTCCTGAGAAGGGGGCGTGGGTCATAGGGCCCTGCAGGTCTGGGTACTAGCAACTGGGAAGCCTCAAATTTGTGTGTGTTTTTCTCTAATTAATCTAATCCTGCATATGTGCACGTCTCTGTGTATTTGTAATTCATCAGGGAACTTCAAAGTGAACCAGCCAGAGTGGGAGGAGACGTACCTGGGAAGACCCAAGGTCTGAGCTGGTGGCTGGTAGGAGCTCTGAGGTCTTGGTATGGGTAACGGGCTTAGGGAATACCTGAGGGACCATTTGTGTGGTGTGGGTGTGCATCTGCAGAGGGAAAGGGTGCGCCTGTTTCAGTAGTGATGTGCAGAGAGGAGGGAGCTAGCTGACGGGAGTGATGTTTCTGTGGGTGCTGGTAAAGGCACGGCTCTCTCTGGGTTGGTCTGTGTGGCCAGCCCCACTGGTGTCACGCACACTTGCACGTGTGTGCTTGCAGGTGTGCGCACCTGCGCCCTGAATACATGCCTCAGACACCTCACTTGTCCTAGCACGTGGTGGGAGTGGTGCTGCTCTCCCACCTTCTCCACTGCTGAGTCCTGCTGCAGTGTCACGCGCACTTTGGGTGGCTGTGACTCCGTGCTGGAGGTAAATGCTTGTTCCTCTCACCTTCCTCAGGCAGAGTTCAGAGGCAGCTGTGCCTCCCTAGCCTGAACAATAATTTGAAAGCAAAAGCTAAGAAAGAGAAGTCGCTTTTCCAAATCCCCAAATTCAATGCTGCCAGAAAATGAAGACAAACAGGTCCTGTCGATCCATCCTGGCTCCAGGGCTACTTCCCCCGTTATGCCCTGCACAACCCCGTGGGCCCGGTGAAACGGCACTGGGGCAGATCAGATGTGCCGAGCTGCAGCTTCCGAGCGGACGCAGGCTGGCGTTCTTCTCTGGGTCTATGGAAGACGCTATGGAGCAATTAGAGAGCTACACAGGGCAGCTGGAAAGGCAGATGCATGTGCACACAGGTTGGGTCTAAACTACAGCCCACAGATGTCCTGCCAAGCTCCCTGTGCACACTGGAATCACTCTGACTTTCAGCTTTTGGGAAACCCACGTCTATTCTACTGTTTCTTTCACCTGATGTCTAAAATGTATGGTTTGTTTGTTCCTGTCTTCAGGATCCTACACTGCACAAAAACGGTTGAATTTTTCCAGAGTATACCTCAGTAAACTGGTGGTTTAGTCTGAAAATTGGGAAGAGGGCAGAAAACGCACCTAAAAAAGCATAGGCTTTCAGACAATATTCTACATTTACAACATGGCTGTTGCAATAGGAAGGACCAAAAGGTGATGTACTGGATCATACCGGGTCTCACGTTCCCGAGTTCTCTCTGCCTCATTAATAGCCAGAGCAGCAAAATAAAAACAACTCTGAAAAATCCTAGTTTGTATGTCTTCCAACTACACAGTTTCACAATATTCCAGTTAAT